CTTTGTTTTGCACACTAGTTTTATTATCAGAAACATTTGAAATAGAAAGCACATTGCTTTAGAACTGTTACATAGGCAGAAGCTTGATAAAGATTCCAGGTGAATTCTGCAGAATTGAGTAAGTGGGTTTGACAGTACCAATAGCAACTTTTAATATATCCCACTTGTCAGATATAAAGCATATCTTTGGGTATTTCTGCCCAAATCTTGACTAAATTCCTCCCCCCCCCCCCGCCCCGTACTAGAAGATGGGTGCTGTAGAAAATTGTGCTGAATAAATCAAATGGTGCCCAAGTATGAGAAAAATCTGAACCTGGGGTCTTAAAGGCTTGTTTTAAAACAAGCAGCCATCTAAGTGAGATATTAGCTAAGTCCACATGGAAAAAGCACATGTACCTCTGTGATCTAAGATCGCAAGTAATAAAACCCCAAGATGGAGGAGGGAACAGTATTTGAGCTTAAATTCTGAGCACCCAGTTTTCCCAAGACTATGAATGACAGTGAATGTTCAAAATCCATTTGCAGAGTTCCCATGTGGACTAAGGCTCCAGTGAGTTCCCTCAGACCATTGACCAGGGATGTGAATGGCCTTACTATCAGACAGAATGCACTGGAAAATGGATTGATGCAGAGGTAGTTAGGTTAAAATTTAGCATTTTACCATTTGTTGTACATTTTGTCTCAATTTAAATTTGTTCTACTTTTTGTTTTCAACTGAGGCTTCTGTTTATTTTTGTTTGTGCTGTTAGGTTTTTGGATGGTTTTGGTGGGGGAGTGTGGGGGCAAGCTGTTTGTTTTTTATCTGTTTCTCTATATGAAAGCCAGGATAGGTAAATCTATGAAGACAATAACTGGATTAATAATTCCTTGGAGTTATGGTAGGGGAGGTTGTGGGGAAATGAGAAGCTAATACTAACGAATACAAGAAAAGAAAATGTTCTAAAAATGATTGTAGTGATGATTGCACAACTCTTATTAATATGTTTAAACTCTAAGTTATATGATATGTGAATTATATGTCAATAAAATAATACATTTTTTAAAAGAGGGCACACAAAATTACTCATACTCACTCAGATGTGGGGTGAGCACATCTTTTTTTCTCTCTTCTTTTACAGTTAGCTGCTTCATTTTCAGCATTATCTTCTCCTTTGAGCATCTCCCTCATAGTATAAAATTTCTTCCGAAAATTAGCTTATTCTGATCCTCAGTCTTATATATTCAGTCTGCTGAATCTCTCAGTGCCCATTCCCAACCCTTCCCTTTCTCTAAGAGGGCCTTTGGATGCCTGAGGAGACTTAAGAAGAGTTTTCTGGATCGTGCATGAAGCACTGGGCTGCCAATTACCAGGCTGGTCCTTCAGAGCAGTGGGCTGTGCTGTGGGAGAGGCAAGGCTGTCTGCCTCAATCGAGATTTTGCATCTGATGAACCCTACAGAGCCGTTTTACTCTGACCCACACAGGCCCTGTGAGTCTAGCATTTGCCTTGGTTTGGGTTTTTCTGCACACTCCAGTTTTCATGGGAACATTCTGAGTCCACCTGGCTGTTCATGAATGTCCAACAATTTAAACTGAGTTTGCCAGCTGATGACCTCCAACACGCCGCTCTCACTGCAGGCTGGAGGTGAGCGGAGCTCTTTAATGTTGGCACCCTCACTACGCCTCTCCCTGGTACTGGGGTCTCCCTGAGCTTATGCCAGGGACTCCATTAGATTTTATCCTTTGAGACCATTTCATAGACTCTCCCAAGTACTCGTCCCTTAGAAAGTTGAGAAAACTTAACTTCCCGAGGTTTCCAGACCACAGAGAAACCAAGAAGGTCTAAAGCAAACTTCCTTCTGGCCTTGTATTTATCTTCCCACAGGTTCATGTAGATGTGGACTGCACACCACAACACAGTGAAAGCCCGAGTGCGAGTCAGACCAAAAGACCCCTTGCAGGTTTCTCAATCCCCCTAACAGATCTCCCTTTGCTCACCTGCGACTCCTTATTGTCCCCCTTTCAGCCAGATAGGCGAGCTTCTGGCCTTTCTGTGCATTGGATCCTATCTTCAGTTTAGGTCCAGCATGGTACGACTGACTTCAACAGACAGAAAGAGCCTCTCTTCTCTATCATTCAGAGAAGCAGTGATAGCATTCTCTTGATGATGTCATTAATACAGGACACTGATCTGGGACCACCAGATTTAATCCTTGATACATTAAAGAATTTGGAATAAAAGTCATTTTCATCTGTGGATCTTTAGGTGTATTAGTGTAAAATCCTATTTTAAATGCCAACAACATTATCTCTACATTGTTTCTGTAACTGTCTGAATATTCCTGTTGGCTTAGAGACTTCAATGTGCAGTCCCATACCCACGAGGATGAATTAGATCAAGGAGAAGTTCAGATGTGTGGAAAGAAAAATGATGGAAACCCATTCGTGGTTTTGTGTATATCTATAGTTCATGTTGAAACATCAAGTAAAAGGAGTTTTGAGTTATATGTGGGTTGGAGCCACTTTCCAGGAAGTGTTGAGGCATTATTGGTTTATGCTGTTTGTTTGCCTTCTCAAAAACGCTAAATCTCTGTAGTACAAGTGACCTATTCCACTGCTCCCAGAGTTCTGTAATGGCATGAATTCTGTTGTCATTGCATCAAATAAGAATCATAAGAGAATATAGAGATGGGACAGAGTAAACTGCCCTATCAAGTTTCACAGGTTGTAAATCGTTATTGAAGCACAATGTGCCTTCTTTCTCCCACAGAATAGCGAGTGGGTTAGAACCACTGGCCTTAACAGTGAATAGACTAATGCTTCATCCCTGTGCCACAAGAGCTGATTAAAACTGATAGCCCATAATGGACGTGCCTTTAAATTTCAAACTCAAATCGCTACTAACTTAGATTGACTCAAGAAGAGATGAAACTTTTCATGTTTAGGACAAATTGTTAGATCCCAGTGTGTCTGTAACTGCTTCACACCTTGGCTGGCAATGCTGACTGTGATGGGGACCATCACCGCACTCAGCTGCTGCCCGACAAGTCAGCTGTATGAACTGTCTCAGCAGCTCGGTAGGAAAAAGACCTGGAAATTGGTTCCCTTGAAGATTCTAACTGAGACATCTGCAGGACAGTTCTACTCTGTCGCAAGAGCAATTGTGAGGTAATGGTTGACTTAAAGGTACCAAACAATGCGACACTGGCTGAATATAAAATATTCCAGTCTGGCAGAAAGACACGTGTGGTCAGTGGCAGAAGCGCTGTGTGATGTTCCTTGGACCAGTTGGACCTTGGTTCCTTAGACCTTGCTAAACTGTGCTGTCCTGATTCAATAAACACCATATAGTCACTGCCATTGACTCAATAGGGACCCTATAAGACAGGTAGAAGTATCCTGTGAGTTTCTGAGACTGTAACTCTTTGTGGAAATAGAAAGCCTTGTCTTTCTCTTTCAGAGCAGCTGGTGGTGTTCAACTGCTGACATTGGGGATCCCAGCCCAATGTGTAACCCCTATGTCCTCCATAAACACTGATGAGGCCTCCTACTCTGTGCCAAACTGTATAAAATGGGTAGGAGTCAAAATGATAGTAGCTCAAACTTGCTTGTCAATCACTCATTTAAATTCCCACCAAAATCCTAAGCAACTAGCCCTTTTTCAAAATAATCATTTCTCAGTAACAGGAATTCTGGAATAGAGAAGTTAAATAAATTGCCCAAAGTCATTTGGGTGTTAGTGGGAAAACCACAGCTAGAAGCCCAGCAGTTTGATTCCAGAACCTTCTTTCTTTACCATTTGCTATTGTTGAGAAGTTTTAATTTTAAGTTTATTTCTGTGTTTGAGTCTCAGATGTTAAGGATCTCATGCATAAAGGCATGGGAAAATGCTTAGTACATTATGGATAGATAGATATGTATAGATATGCTATTGTTATTTACTGCATTTGTTATTGCCTCTTGCATTAACTTTTAATTTATAAAATATATATTTTTGTATTGAATCCAATGTAGAAAGTCAGGTTATTTGTAATCTCAAAATTATCGCTCCATTTCTTAGTGCTCCAAGAAATAAATAACTATGTGCCCTAAAATGAGAGACTTCTAACTTCTGATATTTTTTGATATAAAAAAATGTCATAAAAACCTGCATAGGATACTTATAAATCACTACCCTTACACTTTTCATGACCTTGCTATATCTGTGTATTTATTGTATGCATGAAAAATAATAAACTATTTTATTAAAGAACTTAGGAAGGAATATTGGGACATCCATTGTTTGGGTAAGAATGTTCTCTGGTTTAGAATCAGTCATATAGTGTACTGGCCGTTCCAAGTTGAGCCATGCCAGTTTGCCCTGTACCCAGCTGCCAACCAACACTCAAAGTTAGAAGTTTTAAGCTTCCACTTTGAAAACCAAATTGCTCTTTGCAATATAACATTGCTAATGTTTTAAGCGAGGACCACACACTATGGATTTAGTTGGAGAACTTGAACTGTGGCTGCTACTTCCTATTCACCGACTGCTACTGCTACCTGTTGAATAATTGTCTTTGGCTCCCTGTAAACCTACAGCCAGAAAGAATTTGAATTTTCCCCCTCTAGCACTTGCAAATCCGATTTTTATGTATAGCTAAGTGCTCTTAGCTTTTGCTTTATCTACTACTTGTGCCTGGTTCCTAGCAGGCCTGTAAGTAAGCCAGATCCGGCCTATGTAATGCTGTTTGTAATGAGAAATCTAAACAGGGAACGGCAGTGAGCCATGGCAGGAATGTGTTGCCATTGGAGAAGTCAGTGTGGAGAAAAAGTATAAGCAAAGCCATGTCCAGAAGGCCTTTTCAGCCGGCCAAGACGGAAGACTAATGTTATTGTACATCGGCGGTTCCCCTGCCAGCCCTCCCTCACCGATTTGCTTTCTCTCTCCCTTCCTCCCCTCACCCTCCCTCCTCCCTTCACCTCTTCCCTCTCTCTCCCTCTGCTCCCTCTCTCTGTCTTCGGGCTCTGGGACTGTTTGCTCAGGTGGACAGTGACACCATTTGGAATGAGCTGCACTCGTCCGGAGCTGCACGCATGGCTGTTGGCTGTGTCATCGAGCTGGCTTCCAAAGTGGCCTCAGGAGAGCTGAAGGTGAGGTCTGGGTTGCATTAAGTGTGGGAAGTCGAGGGAAGAAGCTGAAACAGAGCTGTTGCTGTTTGGGAATTGTGGGGAGTGCGGTGTGGTAATAAAAGGAAAGGGGAGGAGGGAAAGGGGTCAGGGAGATAGGCACTAAGGTGTGATAATAACTTGTCTGTAGGTAGATAGTAGCTGATCCTGCACTGTGGCCCTTCCTCTCCCCAGGAAACCCTGCTGTGGTCAGGGCCTTCCAGTGTGTATTTAAGAGCACACAGTTGATGAGCACCGCTAGGGTCCAGGTTAAAAATACCCTTAGTGTATATATGTCTGTCATGCTGGCCTGGGATTCTCTTTTGAAACAGTTTTTAAAATATGATTACTGAGTAGTATGTATAGGCTCAAAATACCACCCAGAGAGAGGTGGGGGGAGAAAGGTAAATACCAGACGGGAAGAATTGGGAGGAAGAAGGAAATTGTTGATTAGGAGGGTAATGATCCAAAGTATGTTTTTCCATGAAAGAACTTCAAAAATGAACTATGCTTTATTGTTCTTTTCTCTTTATGGTCTCTTCTTTTCTACTTCATATGAAAAGAACAATGTACAAACCCCAACATTCCCCAGTCTAAACAATTTATAAAAGGCAGAGACCTGACAGACGTTGACGTTGTATTTGGTATTTTAACAGTGCTATTTAAAGGGATGCCATGTGTGCCTTGAATACTGTTACCCCAATAAACGTTGTTGGTGCTAACATGACTTTTTAATACACTGGTTCACACACTTCATAATGCGATCTGAGTGGTGATTGATTTGGTATTTTTAGCAATTGTGAGGCTTAAGGGAGATATATCATGACCAACAGCATATGCACTGTGAGTTTTGCTAATCTAAAATAAAATCTAATTAGGAGTATTTTTCTTTGAGTCTAATGAATTTTTATTCAATTACACCTGACTGTTCCACTTTTGATTGAATATCCATGGTAGGAATGTACACTTGTTAATACACTGTCTATCCCAGAGGACTTTACTCTAACTCGTAAAAATCACTGTCTTTTAAAAAATTAATTAATTGATTTCCAAGACCATTTTATTGGGAACTAATACAGATATCATATCATTCCACAGTTCAATCGCATCAAGCAATATTGTACAATTGCTACCATAGTCGATTTCAATATATGCTCTTCCTTCTTGAACTCCTTGACATCAGCTCCCCTTGACATCAGCTCCCCTTGACCTCCAACACCCCCTTTGTGCTATTGATATGATTTGATTCAAGAAATTGTTTGTTCATCTCATGCGACTAAAGGGGTTTTTAATGTGGTGCTTACTATTCGTTTGTTATCTTTGATAGCAAATTATAGAAAACTAGAAAAGTGTTAGTCTTATGGAATGGTTTAGCCTGGTTGAGTGATGCCATTTGTAGTAATAGAGTCAGTTGAAATTTTGAAAGAAGAATAGTTGAGAGCTTTTATTTCAAATACTTTAAAAAACAAAACAAAACTAAGCTACCCCAGGCCACAGTATTATAATATTTAAAAACATATGCTGGCACAATTTCACTTGACTATAGTTTTAATTTGCTGGTTCACACACTTCATGATATAATCTAAGTGGTGATAATGTAACCAAAACTATTATGTTATCTCAGATAATTTATGATGCTTGTAAATATGTAGAAATGCAAGTAATAGTTCAGATTCTTTCTCAAGTAAAATGCTCACATATTTGGTACACTTAGCAAAATCATCATTCTTCTTACACAATGCATAGACTTGCCAAATGCATGAAGAGAGGTCAACAAAAAGCTGATTATACTTTTAGGAGTTAGTTATTTAAAATCACCAATTACAAAAGAAAAATAAACAACATAGTATGGACAAGTTGACCACCAGCTGTGCTAACATTGGCTATTTATATAAAGGACAAAAATTTGGACAAATCTTGCCCCCAATGGCTTAGTAATTATCAGTTATGTGTAAATAAAGAAATAATAAAGGGGAAAAACAGCCTCCAAATCAAGAACTGTGACTTCAGCTTCTTCCACTTGAATACGGTGTCATTTGTCACAAATATTAATATCCCAGGGTGTCAGTTGTTTGTTCAGCAAAATCAGTAAGATGGAATTCATGATGCTGAAAGTTCCCTTACCACTGGCATTTTGAGCTACTTTGCAAGTGGAAGGTGGACCTTATATACACTATGCAATTCCAAATAGTGGACCCTGCAAAACTACTTAAAATTTTTGGTGGGGGGGCGGGGGCAAACATTACAGATTTTATAATCTCTTTATCTTTCTATTTGCCAAGTCTAATATAAATGTCCAAGGCAACAGAAACATCAGCGACATCACTGGTGGCATGACAAGTCTAAAGATTGAAGTCCTTCGGTTATGATAATTTGAACAGGTCTCTGTGAATGCCATAGGGGAAGGGTAGCAATCATAAATAGCCCAGAGCCACAGCAAGGAACTGAGGTACAGTGCTACACTTAGAGAACCTTCCAAGCTTAACCTCATTGTCCTGGAGTCCATTCTGCCTCAGAGACACTACAAGGCAGGGCACACCTGCCCCTGTTTGTTTCGAGACTGTAAATCTTTCCACAGGCAGAAAGCCTTATCCTTCTCCCTCAGGGGAGCTGGTGCAGGGAACTGACCATGTGGGTAATTGTCCATCGCCCCAGGACTCCTCTGACAGAACCTTCGCCAACCAAAACTTAGTCACTCAGAATCTCCTGGACCAAGAGTCAGAGATGCTGGGGATTGGTGCTAACTGGGAACAGTATTACTTATGACTTGTGAAGTCATTTCATTCAGTTCTCCACACGGAAAATCAAGGAACTTAAATGAGGACCTGGGTAAGTGTCTTACCCCAAAGTGTTGTGTTGAAGTTGTAAGCTTATGTCTGCAAATAGGACTGTATTTGGAAGTAGACATTTTTGTGTTGTTTTGTTAACAAAGTCATACTGGAATAGAGTAAGCCCTAAACCTAATCAGTTTTGAGGGGTATCATGAAAACCGGAAAACAGAGTCACACACACCGAGGGGACATGGATGCCCAGAGAGGACTCATCTACAAACAAAGCATCGTCAAGGATTGCAGGCAGACACCAGAAACAGAGCTTCACAGAGGAAACCTGCAGACCTGAAAACGGGATTTGGACTTTCAACCTCCAAAAGTGTAAGAACATAAATTTCTATTCTTTAAAGTCACCTACTTCGTGGACGTTTATTTTAATGGTAATAGCAGGCAACTAAAACAGTGAGTGAGGAAAGATGTCCATTTTCCCATTACACTTAGCCCTCAAATGCTCTTCTCTATTCTCTCTGGAAATCAGTCACTCACGTGGCAGATGAAAGTACTCTTGTTCAAGAGAATGCATGAAATTTCATTGGAAAATAGAGCATAGTTAAGCGTTTTCTTTCCAACAGGGTTTGACTGGATGGAGCTGTAAACTCAGAGATGAGAGAAAGATGGAGAGGGGGCCCTGAACTCAAACAGGATGTAGGAGCCGAGCGATCCGCACTAAAAGGGGAAGTGCCAATAACAAAATTGGGCTCTTTGGAAGACTTCCTTGTTTGTAACTTTCCATAACAACTCACCCAGTGCTTGACAGGCCCTATGCGTTCCTCATCTGGAAGTACTGCTGAGATGATGGAATGAAAAGAATAAACAAGGCACAAGAAATGATATGTTGATTCATACATAGGTGTATATAGCAAGAGAAAGAATAGTTAATCTATTTTGTACACACAGTAGAATCCACTGGAAGTTAGGGGGGCTTCCAAGATTTCCAAGCTTTTAACAGTGTATAACACTGCCAATCGATGTGAAATCCGAAAATCTACAGACACCCAAATTGGCTATTTCCCAAATAGGAAATGAAGGCCTAACCAGTGATCAGCTGCCAGGATAATTATTGCCCATGTGCAGTAACCTATACAAGGTATTTCTTGACAAAATCTGGGGGACTTATCGGTGTCAGGGATTTAAGGAAATCTCAGTCAAATCAATAGCTGCATAAGAGCCCTGAAAGCATAATAGGTTACACGAGGGACTGCTAACTGCAAGGTCAGGAGTTTGGATATCCAGTTGGTCCTCAGGAAAAACGATGAGGCTTTCTTCTCCCATAAAGGTTTATATCCTTGGAAACCTCAAGTGGCAGTTATACCCTCTCCTATAGACTCGCTGTGAGTCTACACTTGATGGCACTGCATTTGCTATGCTTATTTTAAGCATACCAAAAGCGAAGATGTCAAGCCATATTATGTTCAATCTATACAAGAATTGGTGCCTATGAATTATAGTGCTGACAAAAAATATTATATATATCATGGATTGCCAGAAAAACAAAGAAATCTGCCTTTAAGGATGTAGAGCCAGAAGAACCACTTCTTAGATGTAAGCATCCTGAGACTTCGTCACATAGTCACTCATACTTTGGACATGTCGTCAGCATGGGCCAGTCCCCGGAGAAGGATACCATGCTGGGCAAAGTTGAATGTCAATGAAAAGAGAAAGATATTCTAAAATGGCTGCATGGTGGGCAGGATGTGAGGACCATGCTTGGGGTCATGCGGAGTACGAATTTCCTAGATGGCATCAAAGCGCAACAACTTGCCAATAGCACACAAGGATTATTATCTTAACTTCCTAATAGCTCTTGATCGCTTGACACGGTAACTTCTTCCACCCCTTTATTCTTCACCCGCGCTTGACGTTGTCTTTTCCACTGCTGTTTATAGTTGATGCTCAACTTGTCGTTTTGCATGAAACGTCCTTTAAGATTTTGGTTGATATTCCATAAAATCTATAAATATGTTTGAAAGAATCACCTCTTTATAGTACTGAGTCTATTTTTATTGACAATTTTAAAATTTATTTATATGTTTAGTGAAGTTTCTTGATCAAGATTTTACATTTCTTCAAAGGCAAATAAGTTTTACATGTAGGTAATTTTTAAAAAGCAAAATGTTGTCTTTTAAAAGATATGTGTTTGTTCTGATGTATATT